CAAGAAACAAGAGAGGGTTTGAATCGAGTTGAAAACTTGGCAGAAGCTGCCGATTATGATTCGATTTGATTGGAAAGGACAATAAACTTTTAGCTTTTGGTTTAAAATATTGAAAGCTGAGGCTTTATAGTTGTTCAGTCAGATTTTAAGCAGAGATAGACTTTGTTTTGAATTGAGACATTGCAATTCTAAGTCCATTAGCATTCTAAGTCCAGTTTAGTCTTGCCACCATATGCCGAGATCAAAACTGTCAATGATTGAAGTAAAATCAATATTATCTTGATGTTCATATTGCACACTCGAGCCTTAATTTTCTCACTATTAGAAAAAGAAGACGAATGAGCTGGAACTAGGGCAGATGTGGGCAAAACTTGTGCGTGAAAGATGAACTAGGGCAAAAATTGTGTATGAAAGATGAATGAGGGCAAAACTTGTGCCTTGCCGGGACTCGAACCCGTGACCTTTCGCTTACCGGAGAAATGTACTAACCACACCACAATGCACTCAATTTTCCTTCCTCCAGAGGGAGCTAAGTCAAGATTCAGAGTCAAGATCTTGGTTTAAATGTCAATTACACTTGAGACATTGTCACCGGCTGCTGACACAATTCGTTCGCCTGGGACATTGCACTGATGTCAGGTGACATTTTTTGTCAAAAACAACGTTGCCCCATGCGATTGCTTGTGCAAAAACGCCATTGTCGTCAACGTGTTAACTTAAACCTTCAAGCAGCTTAAAGCCCCACATTTACGCAAATCGTAAAAGAAATTTCAAATATCATTTTTCGATCAACAAAAAATTAAGCAATTTTTCTTTCTTCAAAAAAAGAAACCTTTTCTATTTTCCAAAAAAGCATTGATCACTCGTAAATACCGGGATTAGGGCTAAAGTCTTTATCCAAATACGGAGACAAATACACTTTTAAAGAAATGAAAAAAATACTTTTGTAAAGAAATTAGCAAGAATAATTGCATTTCTCATCATGTAAACAATATTTTCTATAGAATTTACGAGTAAATCCACCCTCAATCTGATTAAAGATTCGTTTAAAAAAGACTCTACAAAAACTGATGATCAGATTTTTGAGATTAGAAGATTAGGCACATTTTTTTTCATATTTTACTTGATAAATTTAAGTAGATTTCTTTAAATTTCTTCAATAAAACTGAAAAATAACAAAAATAATATAAAAATTTCTGAAAATTCACCTACCGAAGATCTCGAAGATCACCAGAAAAATTTCAGATAAACACCCGCAAAATGGTGACCACTTTAGCAAGTAATTACAGAGATTTCAAGAATTTTTGAAGGCAATGAAAGATCAGCACAACTTGTTGGATAATTTATACTTTTCGCTTTGATGAAGGTGTTAATTTAGAATCTCATGATAGGCAATGGCGTAAATAGGAGAGAAACACGGGTGATTATTCGAAGAATTCAACTAGTGAAAGAAATTCAAGAAATTCGCGAAGAAAAGGAAATGTTAGTCATCAGCTTTTTGTTGGATTATTTAGGTTTTGAATTGAAATCAGAAAGTCATAAGGAAATGAAAGAGCTCTCTAGCCCTTTCATAGCTTTATGACTCATTCAAGTTTACCAGATTACTAAGTCATCTTTGTCCCTTTTCCCTAATTATTATTAGTTTGTTGTTGTGTTTTTCTTGACCACTTCTACATCTGATAGAAACTAGATGCAATTTGCTCTTTATTGAGTCATCTTTGACTGGGATGAAATAACTGTTTAAGCGTGCGCCACCATCGTGAGGAACTTCCCAAAGCGTTTAAAGAGGTGTATCGAAGCGGATGGTGGAAATTTCGAGCATTTGTTATAAGTTATTTGTTGTTATGATTCTTTGACTGAAAAAGATGACTCAATAAAGAGCAAATTAGTTAGTTTCTATCAGATGTAGAAGTGGTCATGAAAAACACAACAACAAACTAATAATAATTAGGAAAAAGGGACAAAGATGGGTTGATTATAGTGGTACAGTGGGTTGACTAAGGTTATCAATGACTGACTGACAAGTTTATTCAATTTGTCTAGGCTTTGAGTTGAAGATGGAGAAAAGAAATGGCAAACAATGCTACGAACAGTACTACTTTCTAAAATTTTTGATATTAGGTTGGTGAAAGTCTTTTCGTTTCTTTTTGTACTTCCGTTTAAAACCAACAAATGCACCAATTTTGTTGTTTCATTAGAAAAGCCAATCAATTTTCTGCAAAATAACATTAAAACGGATTTTAAATGTCTTATTTCTGGATTTTTTGGGAGAATAAACACTTTTTATTTTTAAATACATATCGTAAATACTGCAATTGAACGGCACCCCCTCGTTCAGTCGCGTAGTTTAACTTCTTAGAAAATCATTTTTTCTCAGCCCCTAGATTTTTTCCAACTACACCTTTAGTACCAAAAAATACTAGATTTCAAGGGCTATCATTTGACACCAAAGCACACACTGTAGCATAAAGCAGCGCGGAGAACAAGAAGTCCAACGTTAGACTACCCGACTGTACGCCCGTCATTATGGAAGTGCCGAAATATTAGAGTATTTACGGTGGGTTATTTGGTGAATTTGTTATTTTTTAACGAAAGTATGAAAAGGAACAAAAAGACTTATTCACCAACGTAATACTCATTGAGATTTATGAAATGATTTATGAAATATGAAATTTAATCTTTGCAATAGTGGAAAATTATGAGAAGTTCTAAGAAAATTGCATTAAATCAAAAAAGTGATCAAAATTAGCAAGTTAAAGGAAATTTTGAAAAGCTTCTGTTTCCTATACTTTCAAATCCAAAAGAAACTTCTAGTCTACTAAATTTTCAAAAAAACTTGCTCTTAAAACTTTCTACAAACAAATAATTTTTGAGAAACATTGATGAGTCGATGTGCTACTTGAAAAGTGATACATTGTGATGTTTGAGGTTTCAAACGAGCAGACAGATGAAAAAAAATGAAGAGAAGACGAAGAATGATATTTTCCAAAGGGATAAAAAAATCGCAGTGAGAATACAAGCGCGACTTCTTTTTTCCCCTTCCAGAAAAGACCTTTCCGAGAGAGATTCCCTTTTTCTCTTTTTCGAGACACCGGCTAAGCTCACCACATGAAAACATGTTTTTTTTTTGCTTTATTCGGGCTTCATAACTTTGCCAGATTAACTAAATTGATTTGCTTTTTTTGCAAGACATGATCTAGGTGAGGTTGACATTCACAAATGCGTTCACTTTTCGAGGAATTACGTATCGTTTTTGATTAAAAAACCACAAAATAGGATTAAGTATTGAAAAACTACAGTTCAAACCACAAGTACGCAAATTCTTTTATTCAAAGAAAAGACTGAAGTTTGACTTCTTGAAAACTATTGGATTGGTGAATTGAAAACTGCCGTATGACAGTTTGGGCACTTTCTTCAAAAGAAACCCATTTTGGTGTCAATGGAAAAGTTGTAGAGAATCAAAAATCAAGCTTATATCCAAATTTTCAGAACGATTCAAAAACTGGTTTTCAAGAAATGCCAAATTTACGAATTTTCACAAAAATTGCATTTTAAGCGAAACTACCAAGTGTATCTTTTTGGAAATTTGGCTATAAGCCTAATTTTTGATTCTCTACAACTTTTCCATTGACACCAAGATGGGTTTCTTTTGAAGAAAGTACTCAAACTGGGACATCTCCAGTACTCCATTTTTGAGTCTCACACTTGTCTCACACACAAACCAAAATCCTACTACGAAAGAGGAATCCGCAAATTGCCTGTAAAATGGGCAGAAGTCGTCAATAATAATGGAAATTATTTGAAATGAATTGATCGTTTTATGTTGAATAAATTTTAGTTCAAAGTCCCGCAGTTTTCAATTCACCAACCCAATAGATACAAAGCATTTTTGGCTAAAAATTAATTTTTAACTCACTATTAGCTTTTCAGATTTCATTTTTAGCTCAAATTCTTGCAAAATATTTATTTCCTGATCTCTGATCGCTTTACTGTTCAGCTGTTTTTCAATTGAATGAACAACATCCAATCGAAAATCGATAGGACCCAGATGGGGTTAGGGAAAAACAAACACCCACACGCAACAATAGCTGGGATTTTGAAGCAAATCGATATACGAATAGAAACTTGGAAAGCTCTGTATGACTTATCTTTCAAAAGTCTTATCATTGATGCATTTTAGTAGCTAAATATTACAAAAAGCCCACGAGAATTGACAACGCACAATTTCAGCTAAATAGAGACAACTTTATTGCTCAAAGTTGGCACATATTGGCTCTTTAAACCAAGAAAGTTCTCAATCTTTTTTGAGAAAATAATAAAATTAATACATTTCTGAAAAATATTACGCTGAAAGGAAAATCTCAATCTTTTTCAAAGTGAGCACTCTTCCGAAATAGATCATCCGATATTTATCACCATTTCTCCCATGTAAAGTCACCACTCCAATTTCTATTTGAAAAGTCATCCATGGTTTTCAGTTTTTTTTGTGTAAATTGATTTCATATTTGATTTCAAAAGTTTATCATTTTGCTAAAAATAGAACAGTTGAGCGTGCCAAAGATTGGCCGATATTTCAAGAAAGAAAAAGAGTACGAATACACGTAAAACATTGAGCCTTATAAAAAGAAAAAAGACAAAATAGTTATCAGTTATTAAATTAGAATATATTTAGAATTTAAATATATATATAGTTAAGTAGATAACTAAGTAATTGGCAATTGGCTAATCCTGAAGATTGGGAAAGACACTTGAAAGAGCTAGAATTGCAGTGAAATGGAAAATTTTCATTGTCAAACTAAAAGAATTTGCCAGTTCACAGCAATTCTAAGCTTTGCTTCTCGTTTTTGAAAAATTTGTGAACCTTAAATGAATCAAGAAAGAAAGGGGGAGGTCTCGCTATTGGTTTGGGTAAAATTTTATCGATCGAACCGGGATCTTTCGTTCAATTTTTTAAAGGCTAGTCGATCGGATTTGACGGTAAAGTGTCGTGGGTTTGCTCAAGTTGTGCCCACAGGGTTCTCAAGCCATGGATACACATCGGGGCACGGGGCACAGGTAAGGAATTGATGCTCGGGACTTGTGAGATCGGGCGTACGGTACATGCACTTGTTCGGCTTGGCGCAGGTGGCTTTGGAAAGATCGGAGAAAGCACGACGACAACGAAGCGCCTCGCTCTGGAAAAGTTAGATAAGAATTGCTTCTGATAACAACGAAAGATCAACTAAAGCCTGAAAAAAGCTTTGGCTATACATAACAAGTACAATTTTATTGCTACTATCGCTGTTAAAATAGTTTCTGAGCCTTTTTGTCAATCCGGAAGACTGGAATCAAACCTGTGGAGCCTCTTGCAATGTGGTCGGTCTCTGCATCCATTTCACCAATTGTTCAAGTGTTACAAAGTAAACGTCCTTGTTTTTTGAGATTTCATCCATGAACCTAAACCAATTCTTTAATCTTGTATTACTAAAATCCTTCTACCGAACAAAGCTTCTCATTCCAATATCTGTGTTGTTTAACTGAAGGAAGTCGGCGTTTAGGGTGAGCACATAAGGAGCTCGATTCGAATGGTAAGCTCTTTCGAAGTTTGTCATCAACATGTCCACCTAAAGCTTGGTATTTAGAGAAATTTTGGCCTAAGTATAGCTCACCAATTCATTCATTGACGCATCCAAATGTGTGGCCGCTCTCAGCATGCTTGCCCGTCGATGGCTGTCGATTTGCTTCATATAGCCGCCATAGAATTGATTGATCGGAATCTCCCAGATACCAGGGAAAGATCTAGATTTTTCTTGTTGTAGGTGATTCATTGAACTCTCACCTATCTGGACACTTATTGTCATTGCAAGCAAACGACACTTTGTAGTCCATTGTCTGTGGCCAATAGGGTGGGCTGTCCAAACCAGGATTGGCTGTCATCGTGTTATCATACAAGAATCCGGCTCTCATCATCATCTAGATACAGGGTGGATAATAAGTAACGCTTATTGAACGCGTGTTACTCCTGTTAGTTCCAAATCTCATGAGTAACATACCAAAATGTTGCTAAAAATCTAGGGAATCTACAGGGTGATCGCGAATTACAGCGACAGCTTTTTGGAAAAGTATCTAGGAAATGTCCAATTTATTTTAAAAATGGCAAGTGTTATATAGAGAATTGTAGCCCTAATTCTCGGCAACATTTATCTACCAAAAACTTCCGATTGGACTTATACAACTCATTTAACAAGCGCTTAAATGAGCGCTAGTAGACATCTCTCCGGCGAATCTGTCATTTGACCGAAATCTGTCTTTTCTCTATTAAAAATTGTTAAGAAAAGTTTTTGAATATTTCTTTAATGCAAAAATAGAATTTAACGTCGCTTAATTTAAGCATTTACGTATTAGAGTATTTATGGCACTTATGAATAAAGGGTGGCTAATGAGTATTGTCGTGTGCTTGAATGCGTGCTTACTCCTCAATATTAGTTCAAAATCTTATGAGTAACATATCAAAATCTTGCCAAGAATCTAGGGAATCTAAATATATGCATGAATTTTTGAGACAATCACTGTGAAAGATTTTACTTTGATTCTTGCTCTCCAAAAGGCACTTTGCAAAAGTCAATTCTAAGCTTCTCATACAAGTAGAATTTTTATTTATTCAGCTAAATTTTAAAATTTTCCTGCAAAATGTTGCCCTAAATGTTTTCTGGCCGAAATAATTTGGCTCAAAGCTACGATTTTCAAAAAAATTGTAGTGTTCTTTCTGGCTCTAATTTTTCCTCTCTTAAAAAGGCAGAAACAGGTGCAAAAGTTAACCAAAAATGATCTTACACACCCAGTTTTTAACTTTAAAAAATTGATACCAGAATTTGAAGCACTTTTTCTTTTGTGAGTTTAATCTTCTGAGCATCCTTCACAAAAATATTTTGCACTAAACTTTAAAAAACGAGCAGCGGGTCAAGTGCCTTTTTTGAATAGCAAGAATCAAAGTAAAATCTTTCCTAGTGATTGTTTCAAAAATTCATGGATATATTTAGGTTCCCTAGACTCTTAGCAACATTTTGATATGTTACTCATAGGATTTGGAACTAATATTGAGGAGTAAGCACGCATTCAAGCACACGACAATACACATTAGCCGCCCTTTATTCATAAGTACTCCCTTTGTTTTAAGTTTTATACTGGTTTAACATCTAGTTCACCTCAAATTGAGCATCTCCTCCAGTAGCCAATTGAGGTGCTCTCATTCCAACAACTTCAGCCTCATCAGCGCCACCGAATTTCGACAACATTCTCCTCATTCCATCCATTTCCCCAAGCCATCTCCTTGAATCCTCGTTCTCCAATGATGTGTGTCTAAACTTAAATATTTCCAGCTTTAATTACTTGTTTACGTGATTGAATTTGAAGCAATCTCATGTCCTCGTCGGTGAATCCATTGTACAGCATCGTAGTTCGTCCACTCGTGCGAGATGAAGAACGTTCCTCTCACTGGACAACCGTTGGGATTGCTAAAAGGAATAATATTGCTTAATATTGGAAGTTTATCGAAAAAATCTTATATATACTTTTAAGACTTACAACCAACGATCACTATCGAAAATTTTCTTGTAATCTGACAAAGTACGGCCATTCACCGAGTCATCAAAGGTGAGCACAATAAATTGTGGAATCTGCTCTGGTTGGAGGCCAGCTGGTGGTTCTTTTCCTATAAAGTTTGATTATTTAAATGCTGAAAAATAAACCTGATCGACTGCAGAAGCATTCCGGAAGTCGACACTCAAACGGATTGCATTCCTGAGCTCTTGGTCTTGGCGGTATTTGCTTTGAAGAGAACCGAAGTCCATTCCCATCTAGTCTCACATCGGAATTCGGTGAACCTAGGTGCAAATTTTTAGCCGAAGAAGCAAGTAACACAAACCAATCGGCCTGCAGTAGCCACTGCTCGAATAATGCTGGGCATCACAGACACACTTTCTTTTTTCACAATATGATCCACCCGAGCATTCCTCTCCTCGACCGCAGCGATCACCGGGTGCTGCAAAACGAGGGCCATCTAAAAAATATAATTTATTCACACGAATAATGTGGTACAAACAATACACAAGCACAACTTCTAAGCTCTAAATGTAGTAAAGAAAAAACACATATACCGTAATTTCTCTAATAGTACCCTGAGCGTCGCCTAAATTGCTCGAAATCTCGAGAACCGCTTATCAGAACCTATCGATGTGGAATCGGAAAATGTAGCTGACGATGAGATCTAGTGGGGATTAGAGTGTTGAGCTTCTGCAAAAGCTTGGAAACCGTAAAATAGTCACCAACTCGGCTTGCCGGGGTGCACTACTATTAGAGAAAATACGGTATATGAAAAAAGAACCAATAATTTAGCCAACGAGATTGAACCCTTGACCTCCCGACTAACTAGGGAAGGTCGCGAACTTAAGGTGGAACTTCAAAACGAGACCTATCCTATATTGTTCAGTTTTTCACGGGCGAGTCCGCTTTCAGTTTTTCCTAAATGGCTTGCAAACGCAAGGAATTTGGCTTTAAAATTTTAGCTATCACTTTGTAAGATTTTTTGCTTGCCTTAAAAAATGTCCCTCTTTACAAAAATTTGAATTTTCTATAACTATTTTCTCTTGATTGTGGTTTGATAGAAAATTTCATATAAAAGAAAAACACATTTCCTGTTGAAAAAAGTATTGGTTAAAAAAGTTTAAAAGTTTAAAAAAATGTTGTCGACGAGGGAGTTGAACTAGGGTCAAAAACTTTGTAACCGAGAGCACTACCTCTCAGCCATAGGGAAATGTTTTTCAGGCAAGCAAGAAAATCTTACAAAGCGATAGCTAAAATTTTAAAGCCCTTGCGTTTGCAAGTCATTTAGAAAAAGCTAAAAGCAGATTCGTGAAGCTCGTGAAAAACTGAGCAAGATAGGATAGGTCTTGTTTTGAAATTTCACCTTAAGTTACCGACCTTCCCTAGTAAGATAAAAGTCTCTTAGCCAGTTGGCCAGGGCGGCAATTTCTCAGAAACTCTGAAAAAAGGACAAATCTGCAAGCAAGTTTCTATTGATTTTACCTTTATTGTTGCATCGTCTTCCCATTTTGATAAATCCAGCTCCACAAATGCATTTCGATGAGTCATTGTCACAGATTGATCCCCCAGCGCACAATTGTCCCAAAGCACAGCTATCGCCTGGGAAAGCGATGTCTCGACGATGTTCTAAAAACATTAAGCTCATTAATTTCATTTCTCTACCTTTAACACATTCCGCATCTTCTAGATTTGTTGTTGGTGGACATTGACAAACGCTTTCGATACATTCACTACCACGAAGACAGTCATCAAACAGGGTACAACTGCCACCAATTGCTACCTCTTTTGATGGCATTGAAGAGAATTGATCTAGTTTTAATTTTGATAAAATTCTCAATTCTCATCTCACCTGGTTTAGGCTTCATCCAACTAACAACATCTGGAGTTTTCGGAGAGATCGTTTCAATTCGTACAATGGGAACCCTTGGAGTTGTTGGTGCTGTGTACGGCAGAAAGTAGGATTCAGTCGTTGTTGGCGGGAAATGAAGTGGTGCCTATAGATTATATTTTGATGAACTCTGCTAGCCTTGAATCTTGATGAAAGTTCTTTTTTTCAAGCTTATAAATTGATCTCACTCTGGTGATTGGAGTACAATGAGCAGAAGCATTCAACATCTCTCCAGGTGAACATTTGCACACATGATCAATGCATGATGCTCCATTCCGACATTTATCCACTCCCTCGATACATGGATGACCATAAACTAGCGGAGCGCGAGTAAATGCTAGAATTGTGGCCTTGTTTCAAACATTTACAAGTATTTAGTACGATCTCTTTGAAAACTGACACTGCATTTTCTTTACTCTCTTTTGATTCTTGTGTAATTAATATTTTTAAAAAAATCAGCAATAATTTATTAAGCACACACAACAAGAGAGAAAACTGCAAGTTAATCACTCGTTATTGACAAAAAAGAAAAACAGTTTGATGTTTGGGAAATGCAAAGATTTTTAAAAACGATTCGGAATGAAGAAAAATTATTTTTGAAAATTTGCGTCAGAAGTGATCGATCACATTTTTGACCATGAATGAAAGACTTTTTGAAAGCAATAGAGATACTTGACTAGCAAGAAATTGGTTTTTTTTAGGGTTTTAGTCCTTTTTAATGATCTAAAGTAAACCAATTTCGAAGTAACACGTGAAAGACGAAAGTACTGAAAGATTGGTGTGACTCTAAGCCATACGCACAGCAATATAAAGCAAAAAAAAAAGTTATTTACCAAGATTTACAGCAATTATATTCTTCAGCGGCAAAGCCACCTGAAGTGATATAGCAATAGGAGCGGGGTGGGCAATTCGGCTCTATCCCATTGCAGACGATGATCTTTCCGGATTCTTCGTCTCGAGTCGGCTCATTGCCTGGAGGGCAGAATCCCTCTCCATTGCTCGTTTTTCGACTCGACATCCCTGATCCTCCGCCACCGCCACTAGAACCACCAGATTTTGGCTTTGGCTTTGGCTTCGGTCTTCTAATCGGTAATCCTTTCACTCGTGGCCTGGGTGTCGGCCTGGTGGCGGCCTCTTCGGCGCTCACTTCTTCTTCTCTTGCTAGACTTTGCACCTTGTGCTTAGCATAGGAGACCGGAGCTGGACGCTCGTTGAATTCAACTGCTGAAATTCTTGCCTTAGAAAGTTAGACAGACGAAACTTTTCATGCTTTCTTGAGTTCATTTTTGAATTTTTCTAAACCTCTAGGCTTTCCAGAAAGGCTTTTCGTTCCTTTTCATAATTGCGTTGAAAAATAACCAATTAATCTATGATTTAAAAGATTAGAAAGACCAATTATTCATTAGAAATAATGGTTTCTTCTAAATAAAAAGTGTTTATTGGTCAATTTTAATGTTGTTTTTAGTTTAATTGGTGTATTTTTTTGGTTTTAAACGGAAGTACAAACAAAAAGACTTTCTGAAGAGCTTAATAGTAAAAGATTCTTATTTCTTATAAAATCTTTGCTAAAGCACCGAATTTGCCATGAAAAGTTACTGCCATTCAAAGCCAAACACTTTCTAAGCCAACATACACACCTTCAAGCGGTTCACATTTGCCGGCATTGTCGACAAATCCCGGTCGACACTTGCATGCACCCACGACGCAAACCCGATTCGCGCCACATTCGGCATCGTTTTGGCACTCGGCCGACTTGATCACTACAATCACTCGAAATTGATTAGACTTACACATTTTAAGGTTTGTTAATGTTTTCATGGGATTCGAAATTTTTCGAAAGGTTAACGAGGGTTTTGTTAATTTCAAATTGCGATCGGGGGATTCTCTAAAACGATTTCATGCTGTTTCAAAATCCTCAACCATGCTTTCCTTACCGGGCGTCTTCGCAGTGGTTGGAGGCGATTTGCACTCGTTCATCATCACAATCATTCCAATTGGACACATGCAACGACCAGTGTCCTCGTCACAGCTAAAACTCTGAACTACAAGAAATGAATCCAGCTTACCTGGATCCACCAGTGCAAATCTCTCCTTCTTCACACGAATCAAAAGGATTGGCTCTCTTTCGGAGAACGATTGGAGCTGATGGGACTGGAGCAGAAGGGGTAGTTGGTTGAGGAGCTGGAGGAGGAGTGGTACACATTCCAGCGATGGAAATCTGTCCAACTGGGCAGCGGCAGAAACCATTTTGGCATCTAAACGCTATTCGTACAAATTACAAGGTTTTATTTACGTGGATCCTCGTGCGCAAACAGTGTTCTCATCACATGCGCCTCCAGGGAATCCGATTTTCTTTTGCGGTTCTTCGGCCACACACCAATCACCCTTTGGCACCGGTTTCTCGATTGGGCAGATGCACTAAATTAGCTTATTAGTTATTAGTTATTGGTTCAATATTAACTGCTTATTAGTCTCTAAAGTAACTCGTGCTAGATCTCAAATTTAGCAAGTTTGCCTTGTAATTTCCTTCTCTTCCTTCTCTTCCTTCCTTTCTCTTTCCCCTTGTATTTCTTCTTTCTTCTCTGGCAAGAAGATACGGATGGTTAGATCAGACAAGAAAGCAATCCAGGAAAGCGAAAGGTCGGGAGTTGAATCCTCTCCCCAGAAATATTTCTTTTCCATTCCTTACGGCCTATTTTTGAGACTATCTATCTTTGAATATTTTTAGCCAAGCAGTGACTATCTTTGAATACTGTCAAGTTACATTTTAGATATCATTCCAATACGGTTCCAATACGGTTCCTATTTTGATCTAATACGGTTCCAATACGGTTCTTTTTTGGATCTAACACGGTTCCAATACGGTTCCAATACGGTTCCTATTTTGATCTAATACGGTTCCAATACGGTTCCAATAATTGATCGATCGTATAAAACCAAAAGCATACTCGAGTTGTTCCATCGGACAACGCGGCGCACTCAGCACCACCAACACATTGTTCTCCATGAGAGCAATCCTCCATTGGACGAGCATATTTCGAGTTTTGAGCTGAAAATTCCAATGCTTGCAGCGATTTTTTCAATAAACAGGGGCCTATTTTGTTAAGAGCAGCTGTTTTCTCAAAGTCACTACACTCGTTTTAAATTATTAATATCAAAAAACTTTTAGCTACTCTGCAAAAAAATTAAGTCAAACTACGAGCCACCGTTGGGGAGCCGTTTTTTTGCACAGCCGATTGAATTTTGGGTTAAAATTTTAGGATTTTTTTTTTAATCAAAAAGGACAGATTTTCTTTGACAAATTGATATCCATGCATGATTTTTTTATTCATTTTTTTATTCATTTTGTATTCATAGTAGTATTCATAGCATGGCGTGCAGAAAAAAAAATGATAGAGTTCAAAAAAAAGTGCAAAAAGGCTTCGCAACGGTGGGAAAACGGCTCGGGGCGTTGCATTTTTGTTTTAAATAGAGGAATTACTAGGGGATTTTTTTTTGGAAATGAATAAACAGTACTGGACAATGAAATATGATATTTGAAAAACGATCGTCACTTTCGTGCGTCTGTAACTCCCTTGTCTTTGAGTTTAAACTATTAGTGTTATACATTTTCTGAAAGCTCTTTTCAATGGCTACACAATGGTAATATTAATATTTAGAAATACGGTAAAGACAAGGGAGTTACAGACGTGCGAAAGTGACGATCGTTTTTCAAATATGATATTTCATTGTCCAGTAGTGTATTTAAGGCTTAAGATTTTTTATGAATTAGTTTCTGTAAATAAATTTCAAACGGGTGGGATGTTTAGTGATGTTTGTAAATTTCGGAAAGTAAACGCAACGCTCCGAGAGCCGCTCCATGAGCTGACAACAATGAGAGCTGACAAGCAGTGTTTATTCGGTGATTATTGGTCTTGCCTTGACTCCAACTTTTCCCTCGTCTTGCGGCTTTTTTCTCAGTTTCCGGCAGAACACACGCATCTCCCAGTAGCACATGTCCATCCGGGCATTGACACGATTTATTTCGGCACACCGTGTTCCCCTTGCAAATTAAACCGATCGCTCGACATTCGGAATCGTCTTCTTTTTCGTTCGAAGTAAAAGTCGTTGTGGGAGTTGTGGGAGTAGGAGAAACGAGGTTACTCGCGCTTGGTGTTAGCGGCACTTCAATACTGGCGGCTGGGCGGCGTGGCGGCAAGGAAGCAAAAACTGGCGGTGGTTGTGCCGGTTGGGTGGGGCGAACTCTTAGAATACCTCCAAGTGTTGGTTGAGTGGGTAGCTTGATCGGTGGGCTGGTTGAAGCGGGAATGGTCGTAGCTGGGAGACAACGACCCAATTCACTAGCTTGAGAGCCAGCAGGACAGAGACAGAAGCCCTCCACACACATAGATCCGCCCACACAAGTGTCGAGAGGTCCTAGAAAGTCATGAGTTAAAGCAAGCAAACTAAATGAAGGCTAGGGCTTTATCCAAAAGGTTATTAAACTTATATCAAAAAGCGAGAGTAACCGTTTCAGTCAAAAAATCTTTTGGATAAGATTATCAGCCATTTGAGATTGTCCGCCTCTTTTGCCATTGGCTAATCCTTTAAGCCTAAGTCTTTGAGCTGAAATATCTTGGTGTTGAGCTGTCCAATTGAAATATTCTTGATATCATTGAATTCGTCAAGTCTTTCTCTGTCGATTGGTACAAATAGAATTTCAGTGGAATAGCCTAACACCAAGAAATTTGAGCTCAAAGTTGGATTACCAATGACAAAGGGGTGGGGCGCGTATAAAAGGTCCGTCGCCCCGCCCCTTTTCCCATTGGAAAACTTTGAGCTCAAATATCTTGGTGTTGGGCTGTCCAATTTAAATAGTTTTTATATCGGTCGACAGAGAAAGACTTGGCGAATCCAATGATATCAAGAATATTTCAATTGGACAGCTCAACACCAAGATATTTGCGCTTAAAGTTAGATTGCCAATGGCAAAATGGGCAAACCCCCACAATCTTTGGATACCACACACAGCATACCACATTGGGCTCCCGGGGTAGCCTTTCGGCCTAAAACAATCGGCTGTCGAGGTGAAGGAGGCTGAGTTTGAGAAATGGGAGGCTGGGTCTGAGGAGGGGCAGTTGGATAGGTTGGGAATGTACGTGGTGTGGTGGCTGGGAGTGGAGGAGAAGGTCGTGGAGGGATGGTTGGTCGAGGCTGGGTCTGCACACAGATTCCCTTCTGGACGATCATTGTATGATGTGGACAGACACACCATCCTTCGCGGCAGATTGATCCTAGAGTTGCAATTTCTGAGATATTCAGTTTTTTTTGCCTACCTCCAGTACATTCACGTTCTCCAGAGCAACTGCCGCCAGGCGGAGAAGTCACCACTTCGTTCACTAAAACTCGTATTTTCTGAAGAACAGCAAATGGTGCTGTGCTACTGAAGTTCTAAATAAGTTTTAAACTCAAGATCGTTACTTATCAATAATTGGATTGGTTAAAAGAGTCATGCAAGTTATCAAACCCGTTCAAATCATGCAAAAATAAAGTTTCCACATGCAAGTCATACCACTGCACTCAACATTTGGATCATCTTCATCAGAACATCGCACTCGAACACTCGGCCCATCCGGCAGAGCTCTTTTTTCAGCTTCACAATAGTTTGTGACCAAATTGAGAAAGTAATTTGGCGGACAAAGACAAATTCCATCAAAACACTCAGCATCTCCATGACAAATCCCATTTTCACAAACCATTCCAGCTATTGGTAGTTCGTTGTTAGGTTTTGGTAAGCAATTCCCTCCAAACAATGAAAACCCTTTCTTACAAAGGCACAACCCATTGTCACAGTTCATATTCTTTGAGCAATGACGATCTAACTCACATTCATCACTGCTGAATTGTGTCTCGACAGTACAAATGGGATTCCCATTGCAGACACAAACCTCTTTAAAACATATGTGATAAGAATCACAATCCAAATCTCTTTTGCATCTAGTTTCCTTAATTTCCCTTTTTTCTATCTTTCTTGTAAGGAATTTACAACGATCTATCGACCATTCTGTTCCTTTTGGACAAAGACAATACCCATCTTCACACGTTGTTCCATTCGTGCAAATGCTTAAGTGATTACAGCCTTCATTCGGACTCTTTAAGACTTCTTCTCTTATACAATTCTTGCCAAAGTTTATATGAAACGGTGGACATTCACAAATATTATGATCAGAACAATAAGAATCTTCGGAACAAGCTCGATCGGTTGTACAAGGTGTGCCTGGCAGTCCCTCAACTCTTTCCACAATACACTTTGACTTGAAAGAGATTGTACCAATTGGGCAAAGACAATGATTTCGTTTGCAGGTTGAACCCTCCATACAGATTTCTCCATTTGAACAAGAATCCCCTGGACTGGCTTTTTTAATACAAATCCCGAAAAGCTCTTCTGTCCCGTCGAGACAGAGACAAATTTTCCCTCGACACTTTGAGCCACCTAGACACAATTCTCCTTTAGCACATGATTGCCCAACGCCTGATGCTAAAGCATTTTTTGGGAACTGAACACATTCAGAATCTAGCACAAAATGAGTATCTGGACACTGGCAAAGTTTTCCAAGCCCAGAAATCGCTGAACATTCAGATCCAGCCGTGCAAAATTCTCCATTCTCACATGATTCTAAAGGATTTGAAAACTGTTTCTGTTCTTCTGCATTCACTGCATCAACTTTCTCATTGTAAATGGATGGAAGCATGTGTTTTCTTCTTGTACAAAATCCATTCATTGATTTACTTCCTCTAGGGCATCGACAAAAATCATGATCACAATAGGAATTCCCAGCGCATTCAAACTCATCTCCACAAAACTCGCCTGGTTGAGCAAGTTTTTTCATCGAAGAAGTTGTGTTTTCTGTTTCTGTGTCCTCTGGTGAACCTAGAACTTTATCCGGTTCTTCAACATTCGCTGGTTTTTCTATATAGTTAGGATTTGGATTCAGATAAGCATCAATATTTGGTGGTCTATTGAAAGTCAAGCGTTGATTGCTTGTTGGAATCTGAATCTGATACGATGGAGGAATGACATTCACTTGAACTGGAGTCCCACCTTGCTTTAAATTCTCCGCAGTGAATGTAAAAGGTGGTAGATTGTTATTTTTGTTTGGCACATTTACAGCAAGAAATGGAAAGCTTGGAATCGCCATTGTTTGCACGGGAGAAATTGTAGGGATTGTTGATGGCAAGGTGGAAAGATAAGAAGTTGATGGATTTGTGGATATTGTTGGGAATTTTGCTTTCCTTTCTTCAGCCTCTTGATTAACTGTACTTCTATCTAATTCCGCTCGAATTCGAGCTTGTGCCCAAGATGAATCTGATCGAGTAAAAGGCATAAAATCTTGTCCATATCCACTAAAAGCTTGTCCTTTATAGCTGTAATAACTTTGACGAACCAAATCAAATAGTTCTTCATTTGAGATTCGACCTGGTTGCGGAACACAAAAACCATTAGCCAAGACATAACTATTCTTACAAACACAGCTCCCATTGTCACAATAACTGAACTTGTGACAACTTCTACTTGATAAGCAGAATCGCCCTCTTGGTTGATCCGTTTGAATACATCGATCGTCAATTGTTTCCATTCCAGGTGGACACTCGCAAACACCACTAATCGTACTGCAAAATGAGTTGTAACTGCAAACTTGATTCCTCATACAGTTATCTCCAGGTCTTGCTAGTTTAGCCGGTCGACATCTTTTTGTTTCAGGTTTCACACAAGTGCAAATACCATCAACACAAGTCGCATCTCCCTCACATTGATTTCCCGAGACACACTCACCACCCAATGGAATCACTACTTCACAATAACCAGCAGTTGCTCTAAATCCATAAAGACAGCGACATGCTTGACCAAAACAGAAAGCATTTGCTGGACAATCGGTTGGATGTGTACATTTATGACCGAGTAAAATATTGGGAACACCTTCTAAATTGATTCCATAATTTCTTGCTAGATCTGAGCTAGCATTTGCTGGCAAAAAATTGTAACTAATGCTGTGCACTTGGGAATTGAATAAGGCATCGGCTTCACTTTTGTGAATGCACTTTCCGGTGTACTCAAAGAATTCACCAACACATTGACAGTAGTGTTGAATGCATGAAGCTCCATCTCGACATAGTGTTTCACAATTCTCTCCAAGTGTTGGCAAATAAGCAAATCTTGGCATTGCTTGGTTGATAAGCGGAGCTCCGGTTAGATCAACGATTTCATTTTGAGCCTCATTTCCAGCGTACTTGTGATAGACTGTGATTGACCTCAAGACGCATTTCTTAGCATCTTCAATATATTCAGGAGGACAAGTGCAAAGGTTTTCCAAGCAAATCGATCCTCCCATGCAAATCGTTGAGTTATCACAAGAGTTTCCTGGTTGAACTTGTGATAGACTCTCGATTGAGACACATTCTTTCCCATCACTGACAAGTTTTGCTCCACAAGTACACACACCAAATCGACACTGAGATTCACCAACACAATCGTATCCCTTTTTACATTGGCCACCTGGTAGAACTTGATTGATCGCTTCTTGACAACTGTTCTCAACTACAGTTTCTCCTGGCTTACATCTACAAACATTTCTCAAGCATTCGGTTCTCAATGGACACTCGATAGAAGTTACGCATAACATTCCTGGTGTTGAGCTGGCTTTCTGCTTTGCTGGATCATCGGCGCAAGCACCCAATGAAATAATCATCTCTGGTGGACAAGTACAAATCTCTTTCACACAACTCGAACCACCAACACATTCTGATTGATTATTGCACGGTTGACCAGGTGCACTGATTTGAATTTGATTGATAATTTCTATTGCTTGTTTCTCACTGCTTACACATTCTCCATTAATGATTACTTCATTTTCCATACAAATACAAAAACCTTCAACACAAATTGATCCTTTTATGCAACGATGTTTTGGCACTTCACAAATTTGACCTGGTCCTCTTTCAAAATCTTTGTCTTTACGGTGAGAAAATCGTAAAGGAGTTGAAGAGATTGGAGTGATGGTGGTTAGAAGCGTTCTTGTAACAGTCATTGGTGATGTTTTCATCTTCGTGACTTCTTTTTTCTGATTTATCAGTACAATTCCCTTTTCCACACATTTCTTATCCGTTAGATAGGTCTTTCCAACACACATACAGATTCCAAATCGACATTTACTGCCTTGAGTACAGACTTGTCCGAGTTGACAAGAGGCTCCTGGTTGAGCCACCGCTGCGATGCATTGATCATCTTTGAGAGTAAAGCCATAAGCGCATTTACAAATACCCAATTCACAAGTGGCATCCCCATCACAAGCTTCTCCATTCGAACAACGGCCACCTGGGTATTGATGGCATCGACCATTTCTCTCTGTTGCTCCATCAATGCACTTACAAACTCCATTGACGCATAAAGAACCGGAACTGCAACGATCTTGTGAAGAACAAGCCGCATTTAGACTCACAAATGCTCCCGGCACATCCACACAACGACCTCTCTGAAATGAACTTGATTTAAATCGGATAACCTATATTTGCTTCTTTCTTTCTTTCTTCCTTTCTTCTTCCCTTTTATCTTTCCCTCTTTCTCTTGGCAAGTTAAGGTACCGGATAGTTTAGTGGTTAGAGCAATTGCCTGGAAAGCAAAAGCAATTGCCCGGAAAGCAGAAGGTCAAGGGTTCAATCCCCTCTTCAGAAATCTACCTTATCTTGCTAATTTCTTCACTTTTAAGGTACCGGATAGTTTAGTGGTTAGAGCAATTGGCCTGGAAAGCAAAGGCAAAGCCCAGAAAGCAGAAGGTCAATGGTCCAATCCCCTCTTCAGAAATCTACCTTATCTTGCCAATTTCTTTACTTCTTTATTACAATTTACTAGTGTAATTTATAGCCAATTCAATAATAAACTTATTTTATTATTAAATATTCTATTTTTCTAAGCTTACCTTAAAAACAGTGCCAGGTGGGCAATTCTGCTTGGCTGGAGAGTCTTGTTGGGGATTTGGTTTCTTCGAGCATCCAATTGCGAGAGTACATGTACAACTTCCATCCACGCATTCTAATGGAGAAGTGCAGAGATTTTCACCATCTCCTTCACAATTTCCTCCCAATGGAATTCGATTCTCTACACAGTGACCACTCTTTTCCAAAAATCCCTCCAAACAATGACAGATATCATTGATACAGATCCCTCGATGACCGGCACATGTCGAAGCACCAGGCCAACAAACCATCGAACTGTCGACTTGAGCTTCTCTTCTTTGCTTCAAACTTCTTTTCTCTCTTGCTTCGCTATTACTCCAACATTTCCCATGCAAAAACACGCCTTTCATTGGACATTCACAGATATTATTGAAGCCACACTGCATGCTTTTTGGACAATTCGAATCAGATAGACAATTAATATTAGTAGGGGAAACACATTTCGAAGCAATTGCGATAGTTGTTGAGGGACAGATACATTGATTATGCACACAATGAAAGCTTGGAGGACACTCGGCGGTTAGCTCACATTTCGTCGTGTTGCCTAAATAGGGAAAGAAAGGTTAGCAAGCAAGCTTTAAGGAAAATCGGAGTTTTTTCTCTGTTCTATTCTGGATTTAGATTAAAGTTTAGTTGTTGGATAAGTTTGCATTCCGTCTAAGCATGATTCAAAAAGCTTTCAGAGCTTCAAAAGCTTTCAAAGCTTCAAAAGCTTTCAGAGCTTCAAAAGCTTTCAAAGCTTCAAAAGCTTTCAGAGCTTCAAAAACTCAAAAGCTTTCTAAAATAAACCAACCAGGAACACAAGTCTGATCAACGGCTTTCTTCCCTTGAGGACAAACACAAATTCTGTCGATACATTTCGTTCCTGTGTAGGCTGAAGTGCATTGAGCATCGTTTAAACATCCGATTTGTCCCGGATAGATCACTAAAATCAGGGCCCATTTCATGCAAATAGTCTATGCATCCCGAAAAGTCTAGAGAAGTCATGGCAAAGCACCGGAACACGATCACGGTACAACTATTGATAAAAGTGAAGAGAAAATTAGGAAACTAAAGTGAAACTCTTCTAGTTTCTACCTTTTTCACACTTTCCATCGACGTTTACATGAGTGGAGAGGCATTGACACGACGGAGGATTGGTATTTCCATTGCAATATGCACCAACCATACAATCAGTATTCAAAGAGCATCTAACTCCTACACCAGCTTGCTTACTACCACCTAGAGCATTCAAATAATAATCAAATAATCAAAGCAAGCAAAACTGACCAAGTTTGATGATATTCTGTTTGACGGATTGTGATGGTGGAGTGTTAATGGCTCGATACGATTGTGGTCCTACATAGTTTGGAGGAGCAGTCTTATATGCGGGGATTGGTCTCTGAAAGTTGATAATCATTTAGAGTCAACTTGCAGCTTCAAAAAGTTACCGGCGTTGTGATGATATTGGGTGGTTGAGTTTGAAAGTTCGGCAACGGATATGTGGGTCGTTCTGGCTGTGGTGGTTGAGTCTGAATGGGCACAAATGGTTGTTGTGGGCGTTGGGGTGAAGCGGTGGCTTGTGGAAAGGGTTGAAGCGGTGATGGAGTTGTGTAGGTGATAGGATGATAGGGTTGATCGGGTGAGGAGACGCCCTATGAATTGTGAGGTAGGGCAATACAAATGATTCTAACTTGCTTCAAATCCGCTTGCTTGTTCTGATCTATAGCTCAAAAGATAGAGAATCTCAAGAGCTTTCGAATAAACTAAAGCACACCAAAAATCTCAATTTTAAAGAAAGTTACGTTGGTTTGAGTCGGACTCGATTCGACTACGCGCGAGTACGGTCCATCAGGCTACAAACCATTGTAACTTTCTTTAAAATTGAGCTTTTTCGATGTGCTTTAGTTCATTAGAAAGCTCTTGAGATTCTCTATCTTTTGAGCTATAGATCAGAACAAGCAAGCAGATTGGAAGTAAGTTAGAATCATTTGTAATGTAACAGCTCATCATTTTTATGCCTATGTCTATTGTGAGGGTATGAGAGGAATGCAAGATATTCAGAAAACAGTTTCCTACCGGTCGTTGAACATTTGAGATTGGTTGGATTGGTGGAAGAGATGGAATTGGTTGAATAGGTTGTGGAGGATGGTAAGGCTCAACAGGTACCAGAGGAATAGCTGATGATGGTGGCTGAGTTTGGTATTGAGGAGTTGGGGTAGCCCATGGAGCGACAGCTGGTAGTGGGCCTAAAAATTGACATTGACAAACTGTCTGTGATCTTTTTAGCAACATTGGTGTTTAGATATTTCGATAAAACAGGGTGAGTTGAAACTTACGAATGAAATTGCTCTTGATCCGAACGCATTCTCCATCGCGGAGGTCAGTATCTGCAGGGCAAACGCACACTGGGATTACCGAGTCACAAACGGACCCTTTCACACAAACTTCGCCATTATCACACAACTCTCCGGGACCTATTCAGGGATTTTAATTTTGTTATGAGATTTGTTGAGATTTGAATCAAAGTTATCAGTCTGGGATGGAGATTTTTAAATATTAGGCTGTCGAGAAAATCTATTCGTTTCTTTTCGTACTTTCATTTCATAAATCTGAATTTAATTTCAATTTAAAATAAATGAATTTGTTCACCGGAAGGACGAAAACAGTTAATTAGTTAATTTTTTGAAATTTTGGAAACTTTAGAGCTTTATAGCAGCTAGAGAAGCTGAAAAAAGGAAGATCTGCGATTTTTTTTTCTTGTTTAGCAAGATATTCTCTATGAGATTCTTTTCTAGATATTTCTAGGTATTTCTAGGTCTTTTCTAGGGCTTAAAATCTAAACCCAACTCTAGTAATGCAATTATTTTTTCTTGTAGCTTTTCCAGACACCGATTTGAGTAGCTAGTCTAGGCTCAGCTAGATCCTGAGATCTTCATACTTCACTGATCTTCATACACCTACACTACTGGACAATGAAATATCATATTTGAAAAACGATCGTCACTTTCGCCCGTCTGTAACTCCCTTGTCTTTACCGTATTTCTAAATATTAATATTACCATTGTGTAGCCCTTGAAAAGAGCTTTCAGAAAATGTATAACACTAATAGTTTAAACTCAAAGACAAGGGAGTTACAGACGCGCGAAAGTGACGATCTTTTTTCAACTATGATATTTCATTGTCCAGTACTGTAGATCTTCAAACTTCACTGGATCTTTGAATCATTTTCAATTATTGCTTTTGACATTACCATCCGCCTAACTCCCGTAAACATTCTAAAAGAAGTCGGTTCTATTTTTCAATATCCCTCTAAATGTTCTCTAGGTGTTTTTGTTGAATTTTCATCCGGTTTTCATTCATTAATTTTTTTTAGGCTTTCTAGACAGTCTAATATAGGGAATTCCTTTATGAAAACTGTAAGTGTGAGTTCAAACTTGAAAATTCGAAAAATAAGTGAGACAATGATGTGATTTGTGACACTGACCGACTTCCTTGTGTTGTGGTTGCATGATGCAACGACCGTCCTCTTGCAAAAGAGGTGCAACGCACATACAACGACCATTCACGCACGTTGATCCATGATCACATTCGGCCAAATCACCACAAATAGCGCCGATGCCAACTAAAAAATAAGTTTAAATGAAATAATCTTGACTCCAAACACAGCAAATGATTTTCGCGGGAAATCGAGAGATTTATCACTGTTTTATTACAACTTTCATGCAGGGAAAGGGAAAGGAATCGTTCAGAACTTGAACAAAAAAACAGCAATTACATTTTGCTCTTGATTTCGATACAAAAAAGCAATTTCATTTTGTGATTTTGAATAAAAACAGTTAGAAAAGCTACCGTAAATACTGTAATAGTACCCCAGCCCCATAATGACGGTGCGGAGCGTTGCGTAGTCTAGCTTTAGACGAGTTTTTCTCGACACTGGTTGATGCTACAATGTGCGCTTAGGTATCAAAAAATAGCCTGAAATTCAGGGCTATTTTTTGATACCAAAGCGCTTTTGGGGGGGGGGGGGGGGTTGTGGGTAGGTTATTGAAAGTGGAAAAAAATAATGACGGTGCGGAGCGTTGCGTAGTCTAGCTTTGGACGCATTTTTCTCGACACTGGTTTATGCTACAATGCGCGCTTAGGTATCAAAAAATAGCCCTGAAATTCAGGGCTATTTTTTGATACCAAAGACGCATTTTTTGAAAGTACGGGTGCTTTGAAAAAATACTAAAAAACTTTTGCGACTACGCGACTGTACGAGGGGGGTGGGGTACTATTACAGTATTTACGGTAGGCGAAGCTGAAAACAACAAGGAAATTCTACAAAATCATGCAGAACAAATCAATCTCAAACAGCTCCATGCACGAACAAGCTAGACCTTTCGTGATGATGATAGCCGCTCTCTCTGGTAGAACACATTCCCCTTGTCTTTCCTCCAAATCGCCCGGACAGAGACACATTCCAATCGGCCGGGTGCACAACGATCCACCCGTGCACAACTCGCCTTCTTTACACGATTTTCCCGGTGGAGCTGCACAAGACAACAAGATTACAGATTTGTGATAAACTATTGCTTACAGTGACTTTGCTTACTTACAGTGACAGTTCTGAATCATGCACCAATTAGTCTAAACTAGACTTGTAACATTTATCGATTCTTTTTTTGCCGTTGACAATTTAAGCTTTTTTTTGTGGTTTTCTCAGCACTAACCCCTTCGATTTTGAAGATTATTCGATGAAGAATAAAATTACGCATCGAATGATACCAAAATTAACTCAAAATGTAGTATCCACGCAAAGTTATTGGCTAAAACCCTTTTCCATTGTCAATTTAAGGTTTTTCCTGCTTTTTCTCAGCACCAACCCTTCCATTTTGACTATATTGACTATCATTTGATGTAGAATAAAATTGCGCGTCAAATGATATCAAAATTAACTCAAAATGTAATATCCACGCAAAGCTGTTGGCTAAAAACCTAAACCTCACTCATTATGGATGGGGCTTAGCCATTGGCCTCATAACTTTGCGTGGATACTATATTTTAAGTTAATTTTGTTATCATTCGACGCGCAATTTTATTCTACATCGAATAATAGTCAAAATGGAAGGGTTGGTGCTGAGAAAAAGCAGGAAAAACCTTAAATTGACAATGGAAAAGGGTTTTAGCCTATAACTTTGCGTGGATACTATATTTTGAGTTAATTTTGATATCATTCGACGCGCAATTTTATTCTTCATCGAATAATATTCAAAATCGAAGGTGTTGGTGCTGAGGAAACCGCAAAAAAAGCTTAAATTGTCAATGGCAAAAAGAATCGATAGATATTTTCGTTAAAAATCTAGTCTAAACTATTAGCGTTTTGCGTAGAACACCCGAAACTCATGCGTGATTTGTTGAAGTTTTTAAGAGAACAGAAGTTTTAGACAAAAAAGTCGAAATCTTGTACTTGTACATACTTGTACAAGTACTCGTTTAAGTCACTTCTTTATATTCTTTCTTCAACAATTGTTAAGCCTACTTACAGCCTTACTGACAATTTATAATCGTATCTTTGTTCTGAACCAAAACTGAATGGGAATCGACCCCTTGGGAGGTAGCTGGATGGACCTTTCCCTCCACTCGAAAATTTGGAAAAAGTGGTTCCCCGCGCACGCGCATCCTCTCCAAAAAGAGTGGTATGAACACCGGAAAGAGAAACGAGACGGTTCTCGAAAAAAAAACCGTTGTTACCCGTTTGAAGTAAACATTTTTCAAGAGACAAACCGAGAATCGGGATCTTCTTTGACATAGGCGGTACCATAAAGGGATTCGGCTTGAAGTCGATTCCACTATTTTGCGAGCTTGGCATTAAGAAATCGGGTAAACCGCTTGGAAAACCGCTTGGTGTTTCGGGAGACATACCATTCTGAAAACAAAACTAGTAAGCTGAAAAGCTAGTGTGCTGAAAACTAGTAAGCTAAAAACTAGTAAGCTAACAGCTAGTAAGCTGAAAACTAGTATGCTGAAAACTAGTAAGCTCAGTTTCCAATCCAACTTTGTAGCTAAATGACTGGGCAAAATTGGATAAAATTTGGGCTAATTTGGGCTAATTTTATCAAAGAAAGTGTAATAGCTTTATTCTAGTGCTTCAAGTCAATAAAAACTCTACCTTATTCATATTAAAGTTGAAATTGAAGGGTAACTGTGATTGTTGTGGTGGTTGAGGTTGACCAGGATTCGGTAGAAATCCGACTTCAATGTTTCCGCCGGTGTTTGATCCGAATTGAGATGGTTGTGGCTAAAATTCGGCTTTTATTTTAGCCTCAAATCTTTTTAAAAGCTCAGCAGATAGATTTCACAACATCAACATTCAAGGATCACTAATTTTTTTCAACATTTTACCATCAGTAGCGGTTTACGACGAGGCGTACACCCCAAACATTCCATCTAGAAAAGGAAATTGCGTTTGAATTTGAATTTCTGACATTGTAAATTGTGTTTTTCTTTTGCAAAGATCGAGAACATCACCGAGTTCTCAAAACTTTTCCTCAGTATTTGCTTGGTGGACGAAAAAAGAAAGATTTACATGGTTTATCACTGGGAAAAACGATGTCTCAGCACCAAAGAACTGTTCTATTTGGAACAATGATTGTTTGGGAGAATTTAGAAGAACAAAAATATCAGGGAAAAGATAGGGGAAAAGATTATCATTCTTGCAAGATGCAAGAAAATTTGTTTTAAAATCAATTACCCAAGTTGAAAGTTAAACGATTTTTTAAGGTTTTGAGTTAAAATCAATTATCCAATTTGATTTCTAGTTCTAGAAAGTTTAAAGTTGAAAGGTTTTTAAGGGTTTGAGATAAAATCCAAGTGGAATTCTAGTATTCAATGTCCAATTTGAATTCTAATTGAAAGTTCAAGAAAAGTTCAACAATTTTTAAGGTTTTTGAGTTAAAATCAATTGTCCAATTTGATTTCTAGTTCTAGAAAGTTGAAAGTTAAACGATTTTTTAAGGTTTTGAGATAAAATCCAAGTGGAATTCAAGCCTTCAATGTCCAATTTGAATTCTAATTGAAAGTTCAAGAAAACTTCAACAATTTTTAAAGTTTTGAGTTAAAATTGTTCAATCAATTGTCCAATCAATTGTCCAATTTGATTTCTAGTTCTAGAAAGTTGAAAGCTTTAAGGTTTTTAAGGCTTTGAGTTAAAAGTCTAAGTCTAAGTCTAAGTCTAAATTTTTGAGTCAAAGTTAAATTCTATTGAAAAGTGCAAATTTCAACGGTTTTTAACATATTTCTAATAGAATTTGAATACCTTGAATCCAGTGAACGTGCTGAATTGATTGGGCATTCCAGGAGTGATACACGAAAGAGTATCAAGATCGGCTTGTGTTCCATACGGGCACAAACATCTCAATGTCTCCAAATCGCAAACCGTTCCACCAATACATTGCTCTCCTCGAGCACAAGAGTTGTTTAAAATGGCTAAAGTTGAGGGTTATTTTTTTTTTTGCAAAAGAATCCAACTCCTCACCAATGTTGAATTTGTTGGCCTCTTTTCTGTAGTGATGTTTCTTGTCATCGTCTTTACATTGCTGACCGACGAAATCAAAGATCATATTGTTTGGGCAGAATTTTCGCTCCCAAAAACCGATTCCACTAAAAAGAAAGCAAATTTTCTCCTTTTTGTTTTTTTAGCTTTACTTGACTCCATCAACGGCAACACATTGCAGAAAAGCCGACTCATTTCCTTCTGGATCTTGAGCCAATAAACCATCCAATTCGTTGTTACATGGCAAATTCAAAGCGATTTCTTTCCCTAAAGTTGAGTAATAGATTGAGTTTGAAGTCTAAGGCTTTAAGCTAAGGCTTTAAGCCTTAAGCTAAGGCTTTCAGGCTTTAAGCTAAGGCTTTCGGCTTTAAGCTAAGGCTTTCAGGCTTTAAGCTAAGGCTTTAAGACTTTAAATCTAAACAACTTCTTTCAGTCTGAACAGTGATTTTAATTGTCTTCACTTGTTCTAAAAATTGATGGTTTTCTTGTTTTCTTGTTACTTATTTATTGGATCACAAGCTTTCTTGCAAAACTATTTCTCTATTGAACTAAAATCCCCAATTTAACCTCGTTGTTCTTTTTTGGAGCTTGGGATCTTCCCGAATGGGTCTAGGGTCTTCCCAGGGTCGGATCTCGATTCGATGTTTGCGCATTGCGCTCCCCTTTTCTTTACCCTTTCTTCCCATTGGTTTCTTCTTTGAAATCCCCTCCAGGTCATCGAGAAGGCAAGAAAACCCTCATGTGGTTTGCTTTGGACCTATCTCATGTACACAGGGGATAAATTACAACAAAACTAAAGCTTTGAGATTGAAATCAAATAGACTAAAGTTGACATAATTATGGTTTTCATTAGGGTATTGTAAATTCCTCTTTCTTTACCTATAGATGTGCCTATTCCAAGCACGATTAGGGCGAGCCAAGCTCGCATTCTCTCGAAATCCCGTCGTTGCGGCCTCCCGATATGCCGACTGTCGTATTTAGCTGAAAAGATTAGAAATCGATTTGATAAGCATCAAATCAAAACAATTGAATATTCATCTGATTTAAATTTTAACTATATAAAATGAATTTTAACTACATAAAATGAAAACAAATTGAGATAGAAATGACGAAAATGGGATCAACAGAAAGGAAAACTTTCTGAAAATTCGCTAGAAAATCAGCTTGAGTCGGCAAAAAAATGGGCACGCGGAAAGGAAAAGAGTGATTATTAGAGTATCGAAAAGAATCACGGACGTTTTTCCAATCGGCTTTTAGCTAAAGGAGAGGAAATGGTGAAGGAAAGGTGAAGATGCGAATGAACTAGACTCGGCCATCTCCCGTCAGGATTCTTTTCCCCTCCCCTTCTCTTCACACAAGACAAGGAACATCAACTAAAAGACAGGTCAAATGCCAAGATTTCCTGAAGACAGCCTACAAATTGGCTCTACCAGATCTTCATCCCATTCTTTCGTTTGCTAACGGAAGCGTCAATGTTAACACTACGTTGTCCTCACTTGTCTTCACGATTGAAAGACTGGATTACATCTTGACAAAAAAGACATCATCAATGTGTATCTAGAGATTTGATTTCAGAAAAGAAAGACTTTTAGAGAATCTTGAATCTTTGATTAGTTATATAAGTGATGTTAGCTCTGGTTTTAAAGGTTTTCAAGAGCTATAAGTTGAGTTAATTCAAGGAATGATGGTTTAAGGTTAAATGTTTAAGAAAAATTCTTAAAAATCAATGAACAACTGATCAGAAATAGACATGTCCTTTTGTGTACCGAAGGTCTGAGATGACACAGATCCGCTCTCTTCTTTCCTTTCAAGGTAATCAGTAAGGAAAACAAAGTGTTCGTTCATAAAAGAAGGCTGTAAGACAAGTGAAAAAAAACTCAAGTGTTGAAGGTAAATGGTAGGGATAGAAGTTAAACATTTGCAAACTTTCTCCTCTCTTTAATCAACTTGTAAATCAAATACAGCTAAACAATGATCAATGGATCTTTTGAGTTAAAAGAGGAGGAGATGACGAGTCCGTTTTTGGGACGGACTCGAGGATGTTTCTCTCGAGATGGGAAAGGGGTTAGAGAATAAAGAGAGGGGAAAAGAAAGGATGGGGAGGGAGTTGTTGGCGGCCACAAGGCTCAAGGGCTGACATGCGGTCACGGAGCAGTCTGTGATGAACATTGAAGAGAATGGAAGATGTTGAGAGGGGATGGACTCCAGGTATGGAATGGAGGGGATGGGAGGGTTGGGAAGAGGTCAAAGGATTGAGGACTTTCGATCCACTTTCCAAAGCCACTCAGATTTTTGAATCTTCAAACGAATTGAAAGCAATTAATGTTTTAAAGTAAACTTTACCACTTTACTCTACCAATGAGCTACATGACATGCAGCACATTGCTGCCAGGATAGGGCCTTATGCCTTACTCCCGCGAAGTTTCCCGAAGTAGTCCTTTTGGACCTGGATGATGAAATGTAAGTAAAACAGCTTTCTGGTAAAGTAAAGTGGCTGAAGTCAAGACTGAATTCTTTTAAATTCTTTTAAATCAGCGTTCACAAGTGAAGCAAATCTGATCAGCTAATCAGTTGAAAAAGAAAATAAAGCTGGTCAGTTGAAAATCTAATTCAGTCAGATTTAGTCAAGACTGAATTCTTTTAAATCAGCGTTTTCACAACTAGAACAAATCTGATCAGCTGGTTAGTTTAAAAACAAAATAAAGCTGATCATTTGAAAATCTAATTCACCTTAAAATTAGCCTCTTTTCTTGCAATTTCTATTCAATTTCCGAAACAAAAAGTAAAATAACGGTTTGGATAGAATTCAGGCTCACTCCTAAAGCACTCGTCGCAACTATTTGCAGATCTTGGTCAGTCTTTCTTTCTCTCTTTTTTCAAAGTCTCCTTTGCCCCAATACCCTTTATCCTTTGTTAGAGAGCAACTCATCAAAAAGGTATTTCTTTAGTTTGTCTCTTGTGCCGAAGCGTTCTTTGAGTGCCCGTTGGCTATTTGGAAACCCCGTTCTTTTCCCTTCTTTTCCCTTCTTTTAGTGACTTCTTCATTTCATTCAACGATGAGAGAGCTTTTTCACACAACAGAGAGCTCTCTATCCGCCTGACATTCTTTCCTCTTTAGACTAGAGCCTGCTAGGTTATTTTTGGAAACAGTGAATCTGGGAATGAAGAAAAACGAGAAGGACCGAGCGGTTGAACAAGATTTGGCCCGGAAGTGTTGAGTGAATGAGTCAAAAAGAAACTGCAATTATTAGCGAACTGTAAAACAAGTTAATTATTTGATTAACAAGTTCTTTTGAGACTTCTTGTCAGAAGTTAAGGTGTTGAGTTCCTTGTTCTCTAACTAGAAGAATCCACAATCCTATTCAAGTATACTGCAAGCACTGTGTGCTGAGAAAGCTGTTTTACTTGCATTCCATCATCCCGGTCCAAAAGGATTACTTCGGGAAACTTCGGGAGTAAGGCATGAAGCCCTATCCTGATACATGTCGTGTAGCTCATTGGTAGAGTGTTCGTCCGGTAAACAAGAGATCGCGGGTTCGAATCCCAGGGGCGACCATGTTTTTTTATTCCCAGCGTGTCTCGGGAAACGATTGTAAGCATAGGCTGCTGTTTGGAGCAATGGAAAACGAAACGGGGAGGATTACAATCGTTTCCCGAGTTGGCCATCACCGTTACAAACGTCATTATTGGTGTTGCATCCAAAATTTCCCTGAAGTGAACCAACGAACACTACCTTTTAGCAATAGAGATGATTTCAAGTTTTTGCCTAAATAAATTTTGATTTGACTTGAGTTAGGAAAGTAAAAGTTGAAAAACAAACTTGTTTTCACGATTTACCAAAAATTCCTTTGCAACTAAGATTAAAGAATCAAATTTGTTAGAGAAATGAGTCGAATTGAGGTTGTCAAACTATAAATATTGTTTCTGAACTTTTTTGCCACCATTCTTATATTATAACTATCAACTTTTCGGTGAATTAACAATTGCATCTCAGAAATTTCTCATAAGACGTTAGATGAGTGATAGAAAATAACTTGTTAAAACAAAAAAAGGTTAAATGATTATTAGAAAATGTGATTCAAAAGAATTTCTAATTGAAAATGAAAGATGAAAGGAATACCGATAAATAAAATCAACTGCAAGATTGAATCAAGGAAACTCGCAACAAAATGCTCTTCAATGTGTCCGAATCTTAGAAGAAATCAACCGGTTTCAGAACAAAAACTATAGAAACAAGGAAGCTGGACACTTCGCGAATATCTGAAGAAGTTCTGCTTGAGAATGACATTGGAATAGGCGGAAGAAGACGGCTAAGATGAAAGCACTCAACGAATCAAGTGGATCAACACGGACACACTGTGTCCAAAGCTGACCGGGCTTTAGAAGGGGAAAAAGAGGACAAAAAGGGGATATGAGTGTGCCGCCATTTGGTGGAGGGAGCCTCACGTCGAGTGTCACACGTAGATACGATTCTTTAGTCGATTAGAGGTGTGCTGTAAACTTGTGTTTTAGTCCGGCTCGTTAATGGGATTGGCTGAAGTGTCTGGCAGGATATTTGTTTTTCAACAATACAGTAGACTCAATTCACTCATCCACACATTTCTGTTTGTGTGAAGCACTGTTTTGAATGAATTTCTGGTATAAAAGCCTTGAATCTTTATGCAAACTATTGGGTTGGTGAATTGAAAACTGCCGGCTATTGTCAGATGTGACAGTTTGAGCACTTTCTTCAAAAGAAACCCATTTTGGTGTCAATGGAAAAGTTGTAGAGAATCAAAAATCAAGCTTATATCCAAATTTTCAGAACGATTCAAAAACTGGTCTTCAAGAAATGCCAAATCTACGAATTTTCATAAAACTTGCATTTTAAGCGAAACTACTAAGTGTATCTTTTTGGAAATTTGGCTATAAGCCTAATTTTTGATTCTCTACAACTTTTCCATTGACACCAAAATGGGTTTCTTTTGAAGAAAGTGCTCAAACTGCGACTTCTCCAGTCCTCCATTTTTGAGTCTCACACTTGTCTCACACACAAACCAAAACCCTACCACGAAAGAGGAATCCGCAAATTGCCTGTAAAATGGGCAGAAGTCGTCAATAATAATGGAAATTATTTGGAATGAATTTATGGTTTTAAGTTGAATAAATTTTAGTTCAAATTCCCGCAGTTTTCAATTCACCAACCCAATAGTTAAGCTCAGAAACGCAGAACAAAACTCACTAAACTTATGCAAAAATACACCAAAGCCAATGCTTTTGTAATATTAGAAATCGTTTAATTAATCTGAGATGAGCACATTGGAGATTTGGAACCTTTTGCAAATGATGGCATCTATTCTCTTTCAAATGAGTGCATATAGTGCATAAAAGGTTAGCCAAATTTATTGATTCAATAAATTTGGCTAATTTGGCTAATTTATTGGCTTAAATTTATAAACTTTTACCTTAATTTATAAACTTTTACCTTTTATGATAAATCATCCAGTCGACACTCGTTTATGGTATCCTTCTCTTGTCTAGTTTTAAAAAACCCCGAGATACTGATCTTCTCATTTACTCACTGTCCATTTTCTGTCATTTCCCATTTTTCTTGTAAATCTAGGGATTCAAGTGCTAAAATAGCAGCTTAAGAAAAAAAATAGCCCTTTACTAAAATAGCTGTAAAAACTTTTAGAAAAGAGATATCTCAAAACGGTTTTTACCAATCGATCCGTCTTGAATTCAGCTTTAGGATAAGCTATAAAACGTCAAAATTGGACAAACTTAAGGTACTCTCCCAAAAAATCGGAAAGGACTTTTCCATCAACCCAATATATCGTTTATATCGTTATTATTATTTTAAATTTCTACTTTGAATTTCACTTCCCTTACCTGAATCTTCTAGCCAAGACGAATCAAATGGCAATGGCAATCAAAAGAGCAGCCGAA